GCTTTGACTAACTTAATTCTTTGCATTGTTTATCTGTATCCCAAAGCTGGTTCATTTGTAATACATTCCAGAAAAAAAGAGGACAGAGGAAAAAGCAGAAGCTGCTGAATGAGTTTGAAAATATACTGTTACGTTATTGTTACTAGGTTTTAGTGTGAGTAGACAGATCATTGTTGCACCCACTAGTGTGTGTTTGCCCCAAATTTGGTGCAAAGTTGGCCATGTGAAGTGTCGAATGACAGCTTATGCTATGCTAACTGTCTAGGCTACTCATATACTTGCACAATCTATGTGTGTAAGGTTATGAATATAGACTATGTATTTATATTTTAAATGTTTTCTACTGGGAGGGTTGGTTGCTCAATGCTGCATAGACAATGGCTCTTAAGTGTTGCCAATTGCCAAGGCTCGTGCCTTTTCATGCCATTTGTGTGCACGTGGTCCGGCACCAGTCAGTTCCTCCTGACTGTCCTCGGCCGCAGACAGAGTGAACGTGCTCCCCTCAAAATCCTGTCAGGATCGAGTGAGAGACGTACTCGATTCTTTCATACTTAGTCAGTCAGATAGTTAGATAGATAGTATTTTTGTTATAGTGTTAGGCGTAGTCCAAAAAAAAGTTTATTTTTGTTCTGTAGATAGTTAATTAGATCTCTCTACAGAAATGCTAGGATCACCCAGGTTCAAAAAGTGTGCAGCTAGCCGGGAGGCAATGCCCGCTTCTGACAGCCACTCTCTGGGCATAAGATGCCTTGGGGATGGCCACTGTTCCAAATTGACTGCAAGAGCCAGAAGGGACAGGAACATGCGGTTGAAAATGCTCCTTTTTGATAGAGCTTTACAACCACAGGGCACCGACGCCCCCCCATTCCATGGCACCATTGTGGTCCACAACCGATCGACCATTCAAAAAGGCTAAGAAGGGGCTGTCGCCCTCTCGGTTGCTACCCCCCTCGTGGGTCAGCGTCGGCAACCAACCAGGCACCTCAGGCACATCTGCTATGAGTGGCCCCGTGAAACCGAAACAAAGCCACAGCAAGTCGGCACACAGCCACTCATTATCGGCTTTGACTGCCTCAGCTGCACCGCTGGTGCCCCGTTCAGCACCAGAGCGCTCCCCGGCACCGAGGCGCTCTCCCATACTGAGGTGCCCTGCCAGCACCAAGACGGTGCCGAGACGCTCACCAGTGCCGTCTCTATCATGCGCGATCGCGGTGCCAGTCATGCCACAACCACCCACTGCAACATTGGCACATGAAACAACCATACGCAAAGTACACTCTGCCTCTACCAGGCTTTCTACTCCGGGTTCATCTTCTGACCCACACAACCAGCCATCAAAGGGCTAGAAAATTGCTGACCCTCTCACCAAGCCCGGATCCTTTTTGCCAGAGCCCTCGTCGCCTCATCCACCTTATTCCAGACTGAATACCTGGGTATTCACGCAGGGATCTTTGTTCCTCACCACACCAATACCACTGTCACGGACGGCGGTCATCCAGTTACTCCAGACGTTCCAGGGGAAGGTCGAGGTCCCCCAGGTCACCAACCCTCTCTTCGCACTCTGACTACCATGGGTTCCATAAGTGTTCATATTACACGGGATCACCACATAGGTCCCACTGTTATTACCAGTCACCGACCCTCTACAGTCGCTCATATTTACCTCAACGGCACACTTTTTCACCATCTTCAGTGCAACACTCTCATTCCTCATTGAGCGAAGAACGGCCTTCACCACCACCTTCTTCAAGACTACCATCCCCTTCCGGTGTGCCACCGTCCATCCCAGCACACACTCAGCAGCAACAGCAGCCTCCCAATGCACAGGAGGGCCTGCATGGTCACTTGCCCACTGACCAGTCGTCTTCATCTCCGAATGATGCGGTCTTTCAGGGCGATACTTCCCCTTCTGATGGCTTGCACCAATTTCAAGAACTTTTCAAAAGAGTAGCCGACAGTCTGCGTGCACAGCTTGCAGAAGTCCATCAGAAACGGCACCATCTGCTATGAAATATCAAACAATCCCATCAAGCCAAAATCGCCTTACCATTGGATGACGCTATTCTCGAAATAGCAGACAATTTGTGGCAAAGTCCTGCTTCCACTCTGGCTACCAACAAAAAGGTGGATAAAAAGTACTTCATCCCCTCCAAAGGGATGGAGTTTCTCTTCACTCATCCACAACCAAACTCTCTGGTTGTGGATGCAGTGCAACAAAAGGCAAAGGCTTCTCAACATAAACCCACCGCTGCAGCAAGCGGTTGGACATATTCGGATGAAAAGTCTATTCTTTGGCAATGGCCTTATGCATGGCTAGTTACTCGGCATTACTCGCCAATCACAGCTTTGACAATTACGTGAAACTCATCCCACTCCTGGAGCATTTGCCTGACACGAAACAGGATATCCTTAAGGAGGGCTATGTAACATCTAGAACGGCGCTCCATATAGCCCTGGACACGGCCAACATTGCAGCCCGTATTACAGGTATCTCAATTGTGATGCGCAGGGCGTCGTGGTTACAGCAATCATCTACTCCCAAAGACCTCCTGGCGAAACTTGAGGATCTCCCTTTTGACAAGCAAAATCTCTTCTCCGAGAAAACAGACCAAGTACTCCACTCGGGTAAAAACTCCAGAACAACTCTTAAGACTCTCTAAATGTATACGCCACCATATCGGTGAACGAGGTATATCCCTTATCAGAGGCATAGACCTGTTCCCCAGCAAAAACCTTTATTCAGACAACAGCAGCAGAGAGGGAAGCAATGTCAACAGAGGAGACGTCCTCCACTAAAAGTGTCGTTCCAACATAACACCAAGCAACAAGTTTGACACTACGGTCGAGGTACTGAGAACTGTACCTCTCAACAATTCCGCCCGTGCCATGAACACGCTATTTCATCACCGTTTAAGGCCCTTTCTCCAATGTTGGGCCCATATTACCACTGACACATGGGACCTTCAGACCATCGAGCTAGGTTACACCATCCCTTTCACGTCACTACCTCCTCCCTCCCCCCCTGCCCTGTTCCTCTTCAGGGACCCATCTCACAAACTCCTGCGCAGGCAGGAGGTTACTTGTCTACTCACCATCGGGGTAATAGAGAGTGTCCCAGACGAGTTCAGGGGCAGGGGGTTTTAACTTCCGATACTTTCTAACAGAGAAAAAGTCGGGGATTGGAGGCCAATATTATACCTTCGAGATCTGAATCGTTACCTCAGAAAGCAACGTTTTCGCATGGTCACCCTATCTACGATTATCCCAGCACTTCACGGCGGAGACTGGTTCATGTCCCTCCATCTCCAAGATGCGTATTTCCACGTGGCCATTCACCGGCCCACAGACGATTCTTACACTTCCAAATCAGTGCAGACCATTTCCAATACAATGTCCTGCCTTTCGGACTCTCATCACTGAGGTGCCCTGCCAGCACCAAGACGGTGCCGAGACGCTCACCAGTGCCGTCTCTATCATGCGCGATCGCGGTGCCAGTCATGCCACAACCACCCACTGCAACATTGGCACATGAAACAACCATACGCAAAGTACACTCTGCCTCTACCAGGCTTTCTACTCCGGGTTCATCTTCTGACCCACACAACCAGCCATCAAAGGGCTAGAAAATTGCTGACCCTCTCACCAAGCCCGGATCCTTTTTGCCAGAGCCCTCGTCGCCTCATCCACCTTATTCCAGACTGAATACCTGGGTATTCACGCAGGGATCTTTGTTCCTCACCACACCAATACCACTGTCACGGACGGCGGTCATCCAGTTACTCCAGACGTTCCAGGGGAAGGTCGAGGTCCCCCAGGTCACCAACCCTCTCTTCGCACTCTGACTACCATGGGTTCCATAAGTGTTCATATTACACGGGATCACCACATAGGTCCCACTGTTATTACCAGTCACCGACCCTCTACAGTCGCTCATATTTACCTCAACGGCACACTTTTTCACCATCTTCAGTGCAACACTCTCATTCCTCATTGAGCGAAGAACGGCCTTCACCACCACCTTCTTCAAGACTACCATCCCCTTCCGGTGTGCCACCGTCCATCCCAGCACACACTCAGCAGCAACAGCAGCCTCCCAATGCACAGGAGGGCCTGCATGGTCACTTGCCCACTGACCAGTCGTCTTCATCTCCGAATGATGCGGTCTTTCAGGGCGATACTTCCCCTTCTGATGGCTTGCACCAATTTCAAGAACTTTTCAAAAGAGTAGCCGACAGTCTGCGTGCACAGCTTGCAGAAGTCCATCAGAAACGGCACCATCTGCTATGAAATATCAAACAATCCCATCAAGCCAAAATCGCCTTACCATTGGATGACGCTATTCTCGAAATAGCAGACAATTTGTGGCAAAGTCCTGCTTCCACTCTGGCTACCAACAAAAAGGTGGATAAAAAGTACTTCATCCCCTCCAAAGGGATGGAGTTTCTCTTCACTCATCCACAACCAAACTCTCTGGTTGTGGATGCAGTGCAACAAAAGGCAAAGGCTTCTCAACATAAACCCACCGCTGCAGCAAGCGGTTGGACATATTCGGATGAAAAGTCTATTCTTTGGCAATGGCCTTATGCATGGCTAGTTACTCGGCATTACTCGCCAATCACAGCTTTGACAATTACGTGAAACTCATCCCACTCCTGGAGCATTTGCCTGACACGAAACAGGATATCCTTAAGGAGGGCTATGTAACATCTAGAACGGCGCTCCATATAGCCCTGGACACGGCCAACATTGCAGCCCGTATTACAGGTATCTCAATTGTGATGCGCAGGGCGTCGTGGTTACAGCAATCATCTACTCCCAAAGACCTCCTGGCGAAACTTGAGGATCTCCCTTTTGACAAGCAAAATCTCTTCTCCGAGAAAACAGACCAAGTACTCCACTCGGGTAAAAACTCCAGAACAACTCTTAAGACTCTCTAAATGTATACGCCACCATATCGGTGAA